TGCTTGTTCAGCCATTGGAGAAGGTTGTTGCTGCCAGAAAGCTGGATACACTGGTGGTACTGGTTGTCGATGCCCTTGATGAATGCAGTGTTGTTGGGAAGAGGAATGAGATTCTTTCAGTATTTCAGGAGCTGAACAGGCTGCTTCCTGGTAATGTGAAGATGCTGGTGACTGGACGACCTGAAGTAGATATTGTGAAAGCCTTTAAGAAGATTCCATTTGAAGAGATTGAGCCAACGGCAGATGAGAACACTCAGGACCAGATTGAGTTCACAAGAGATTTCCTCAGGTCTTCAAATGCTGAGCAACCTGTTGTTGATGAGGGGTCTGAGATTCTGGTGTCAAGGTCTGCTGGAATATTTGTCTGGCTTGTGACTGCTTGCACTTATCTGTGGAAATTAGAGACTGAAAAAGTCACTATTGAGAAAATTAAAGACCTTCCTGACGGTGACAAGATGGATGGATGCATTGACTCAATGTATGACAGAATATTCAATGGCATCCTCCAATTTATCAGAGGGAGTCATTTGGAAAATCTTCTTCCTGCTGTGCTGTCCACCATTGTTCTTGCCTATGAGCCTCTAACTGCTGCTGCAGTCGTATCTCTGCTGGACAAGGAGGAACCTGAAAATGTCATGACGTGCATCCGCATGCTTGATCCCATTCTTGTGCTTGATGGTTCAACCATGAAGATTAGGATTTTCCACAATTCTGTCAAGGACTACTTGACAACTCCAGAAAGATGCAAGCTGTCTGTTCAGATTGACCTCAAAAGCATCCACTCTGAACTTGCAAGTGTGTGCATCAGTGCAATGAGCAAAAATCTGAAATTTAATATGTGTGACCTGCTATTCTCTGATTTCTACTCTGAGATCCCTGATTTTGATGAGAGAGTGGAGAAGGGAGTCCCTGAGCCTGTCGGATATGCGGTGAAGCACTTCTGGGAGCATTGCTTTGATTCCTCAGTGGAAACTACAGGCAAGACAAATGACAAGGAGGAGAACTTGAAGAAAATTGCAGAGGCAACCTCTCCCATACAAGGCACAAAGGCCAAAGAAATCAAGTCCATTTCCAGCTCCTTCAAGAGGAAGGACTGGGCAAAACATGAGTCCGAATTCAGTGCTGAGTTGAAGGAAGGTTCAGTCGAGGGTGCTGCGCCTGTGTCTGTGACTTCTATCAGGAAAGTATTTCAGATTGACGAGACACTGTTGGCTGAATTAGAAGCTCTTCTTGTGCAACATGGACATCATTACCTTGAAGCATGCAGTTTGATTGATTCACTTACTTTGGTGATTCCAGCCATGACCAAGCTCCAGAGTCTGGTCACTATTCCTGGAAAAAAACGATTGCACACCCTTATGGAAGACATGAAAAGGGTTGTGCAAAAGTTTCTCATTCCACTGAAGGCATCTGCGTTGCAAGTTTACTTCACAGCTGTACCATTCTCCCCAAGTGACTCTGAATTTTTTAAAACATTTGTCCAGAATGTGCCTGGAAGTGTGTCATGCCCTAAAGTTGTAAAAGGGCAACCAAAATCTTGGTCTTCCTGTTTAAATATTCTGGAAGGACACTCTGGTTTTGTCGAATCTGCAGCATTCAGTCCTGATGGGCAGTTTGTTGTGTCTGGAGGTCGGGACAAGACAGTCAGGATTTGGAATGCTTCCACTGGCCAGGAGCTGCATAAGCTGGTGGGACACTCTGATTTTGTCAAATCTGCAGCCTTCAGTCCTGATGGGCAGTTTGTTGTGTCTGGAGGTCGGGACAAGACAGTCAGGATTTGGAATGCTCACACTGGCCAGGAGCTCCGTAAGTTGGTGGGACACTCTGAAGTTGTCAAATCCGCAGCCTTCAGTCCTGATGGGCAGTTTGTTGTGTCTGGAAGTGAAGACAAGACAGTCAGGATTTGGAATGCTTCCACTGGCCAGGAACTGCATAAGCTGGAGGGACACTCTGAATTTGTCACATCGGCAGCATTCAGTCCCAATGGGCAGTTTATTGTGTCTGGAAGTGAAGACAAGACGGTCAGGATTTGGAATGCTTCCACTGGCCAGGAGCTCCGTAGGCTGGAGGGACACTCTGAAATTGTCGAATCTGCAGCCTTCAGTCATGATGGGCAGTATGTTGTGTCTGCAAGCGAAGACAAGACAGCCAGGATTTGGAATGCTTCCACTGGCCAGGAGCTGCATAAGCTGGTGGTACACTCTAGGACTGTCAACTCCGCAGCATTCAGTCCTGATGGGCAGTTTGTTGTGTCTGGAAGTTCTGACAATGCAGTCAGGATTTGGAACGCTTCCTCTGGCCAGGAGCTGCATAAGCTGGTGGGACACTCTCATGTTGTCGACTCTGCAACATTCAGTCCTGATGGGCAGTTTGTTGTGTCTGGAAGCGATGACGAGACAGTCAGGATTTGGAATGCTTCCACTGGCCAGGAGCTGCATAAGCAGGAGGGACACTCTGATAAAGTCACATCTGCAGCGTTCAGTCCTGATGGGCAGTTTGTTGTGTCTGGAAGTGTTGACAAGACAGTCAGGATTTGGAATGCTTCCACTGGCCAGGAGCTGCATAAGCTGGAGGGACACTCTGATTCTGTCAGGTCTGCAGCATTCAGTCCTGATGGACAGTTTGTTGTGTCTGGAAGCGATGACGAGACAGCCAGGATTTGGAATGCTTCCACTGGCGAGGAGCTGTGTAAGCTGGAGGGACACTTTGATGTTGTGAACTCTGCAGCATTCAATTCTGATGGCCAGTTTGTTGTGTCTGGAAGTGGAGACAGTACAGTCAGGATTTGGAATGCTTCCACTGGCCAGGAGATGCATAAGCTGGTGGGACACTCTTCTGAAGTCTACTCTGCATCATTCAGTCCTGATGGGCAGTTTGTTGTGTCTGGAAGTTGGGACAAGACAGTCAGGATTTGGAATGCTTCCACTGGCCAGGAGCTGCATAAGCTGGTGGGACACTCTAAGTCTGTTGAATCTACAGCCTTCAGTCCTGATGGGCAGTTTGTTGTGTCTGGAAGTGAAGACAAGACAGTCAGGATTTGGAATGCTTCCACTGGCCAGGAACTGCATAAGCTGGTGGGACACTCTGACTTTGTCAAATCCGCAGCATTCAGTCCTAATGGGCAATCTGTTGTGTCTAGAAGTCGGGACAAGACAGTCAGGATTTGGAATGCTTCAACAGGCCAGAAGTTGCATGATCTGGCGGGGTTTTCTGCATTTAGTGATGATGTCGCTGCTCCAAGCATGTCACACAATTGCAGTGCCTGGATTTGGACAGGAGAGCCGCTGCAGAGTAAATCTGTGATAAAAAATGGTGTTTGGTTCATCTTTGATGTCGCAAAAGTCTGTTTCTGGCTTCCGCCCGAGTTACGTGGCGACTTTCAGCTCCTTTCAAGGCAAACTGCTCTCTTTCTTGGTGAAGGCTTTTGTTCTGTCATAAAAGTTTGATCAGGAAATGGCTTTGTCGCTTCTATGTTCTCTGTCTCTGTATTTGTTGCTGTGGGCAAACTTGTTTTATCAAAAACAGTGTTTTTGAAGGAAATAAAAATGAAAGATTGCTCTGGTCAAGGACAGATTGTCCAAAATTTGCATATCAAATAGTATATAATCAGCATAATCTAATCCATCGCAGCAAAATTCGAATCCCGATTTTTTTTTTTTTTTTTTTTTTTGCAGAAATGTAAAATTAGTATCCCACCCCAAACATTTGAGCTCGCCATGAATGTATCAGGGGTAAAGAAGAAAAAAAAATGGGGAGTATGGTTTCAACAATCAATCTTACCTTAGAGAGTGCTTTTTTTTTTTAAATCCTAGACATATCAATCTGGCCCTTTGGGGACGATTAGTCCGTTTGGCCCTCACATAAGGCTTGGTCTTCACACACTGGCCCAAGGGGAATGTTGTTCCAGACATATCCATCCAGGCCCACTTAGTGAAAGTGGGGCCACTATCAAGTCCACACTATCAAGTCCACTATCAAGTCCATTATTGAGTCCATTTTGTGTCTCCTTAATTGTTTTTATTTGGCCAATTTTATTGTTTTTGTTATGATTTTCATTCACTATTGAGTCCACACATATGGACTCAATATGGTCTCAATATTGGCTCATATGAGGCCAAGTCTAATTGTTTTTTTCGTCAATTTAACCCTGAGCTAGTTTGAATTGTTGATCTGGTTTTAGCGCAAAGTACTGAGACCAAGAATTGTTGGTGGTCTGGTTGCTGGTTTAGCAGGCACCAGATGCAATGGCAGTGGACGTCGTCAGATGCGCTAGGAGGCGTAGGCAACAAACAGCAAGAAGTCAAATTGCAGGTCGGCAAAACCAAAGCGAGTCATTGTCAGCAAACTGCAAATTGCAGTGGCTGGTAAAAACATTGTCAATCTGGAGATTAAAGAAAATAGTAGTTGTCCAGTAAATTGAAATTGATAATGATATGATTATAGATGTTGTTGATTTGAGGCCACAAAAGAGCATTCAATCAGTGGAATTCACAGCAGAAATTTTTCCTGCTGCTTTGTTATGTGCAAAGAAATTATTCTGGCTCAAAAATTATTTCAGGTTTCAAAAGTATTGTGATATATGTCATGATATTTAATTAGTAAAAGTATTGCGATATTTTGGGCTATAGTATCAATTTGAAACCATAGTGGCTGGCAGCGAGCCAGTGGAGATCCTCCAGGTGGGTGGCAGATTGTCAAACAGCCCCAAGTCAATAGACAAAAATTGAGGTTTTGGAACCACACTTTCTGCAGGAAAAAATTGAATGTTTTTATAGAAATCAGGAAAAATAAGCAAATACCTGCACACTGATATCTGTGATGGGAGGACTGGAATTCTGTCCTTTCTTTCCATTGAGAATTTTGGACTTCTTGTGTAACATGTGTGCAACAAAAATCTTGATCTTTCATGCACTTCTGCTTCAATTTTTCTGCTTTACTGCTTTTCCAAAGACATCAGAAAGGCCTATGTCCCAGCTATTGTCGCATGAGTGGGCGATCCTGGGGCTTGCTGGGGATTGAACCCAGGACCTCCTCCACCCGAAGGAAGGAATCATACCACTAGACCACAAACCCTCCGCCTCATTTGAAGGTAAATTACGCTTCTAATGCTCTTTACAGATTTGCCTTAAGGGCCCCAACAGCTACTGGCCCCAGATTCATGTCTTTCTTCAGGCCAGTGATGCAGTTGACAACCTTTCACTAATCATGCACCAGCACGACTCCTAAACAAGTCCACGTCACTATGCCCGCCTTTCTGCGACAGAGTATTGGTGCAATTGCCTATCTGCACATTCTGCTCCAATAGCTTGAACACCAGCAGATACAGCAGATATCAGCAGGTTTTTCTTTGGATGCAAGCGGATATACACAGTCAAATTTGATATCTGCGTACTGCTTATATCATTATCTGCCAAATGTCTGCAAGTCAGGTTAGCAACCCTTGTCCATCTCTACCTTACCTGCATCCAGAAGCAGATATCCACTTTGGGTTGGTGTTTGACCACAACCCTTTGTTGTTTGTGCTGGGACTGATAAGTGTGGTGGTTTTTCTCTTTTTTTTTCCCTTTTTTTTTTTTTTTTTTGTGTGTTTCCCACAGACGTAGGACTTGCTCCCACATCACTTGACTGCCTATCCTGGGGTGCCTAATACCGCCATTACATCACCTAATGCATTGGGTCCTGGGATGTTCCCCAGTGTCCAAAGTGGCAAGCCTGCATCCCTAACAGGCCCAGTATCCCTCTGACCAAATTGCTTTACCTCAGCACCAGCGCCGTCACTGTCTGCCAACAATTTGTGGTTTTTTGGATGACGGCTATATTCATTACTGGATTCACAGCTAGCCTCTGCCATGACAAACCCTGTGATTACGATAGTCGGACCTATGCTGTAGTTCCCCTCTGCTTGACACTATAGCTGGATTCAACCAAAGATCTCACCCCAGGAACAGTCCCTGGCGACTGGGAAAGAGCTGGTCCAGCAGACAATTTTGGATTCAAAGATTGCAGCTGGTTGTGGAAGGCCAGAAACCTTGAGGCAAAAGTAACTACTCCCATTTAGGGTCAGTTTGAGCTCAGTGGCAGAATGTAGTGTGAAACCGCAAATGTCAGCAGTGCTGCATTTGTGGACATGACAGACAAACAAACCCACTGGTCCCTACATCCAGGCTCCATGGGTGTGACAGACAACACAGTGGCATTGAGCAAACCATAAGTAATAAACTTACAAAAGCCTTCAAATGAAGGCAAAGCACAGTGGATTAAGTGTCTGCAGCGCAATTGGGAGGTGGGGGAGGGGTTGATGGGCAGGTGATCTCTTAAGAAAAGAAAATGGGACTGTGGGGCTCCAATTACGCAGACTTTTTGATCTGAAGCGGCTTGACACCAATGGTGACATCCAACAGAGACATGAGGGCAAAATTATTTACAGAGATATCCTGAAAATTTTGGTGAGTGAGACAGGGCCAGAGACTGTCAGCTGAAAAATTGCCAGAAATAACAAAATGCTGACAAACTAGTCATTTCTTTGTATTGGCAGGTCAGTCTGCTGTCCAGTCACTGACAGGAGTATTGATTTCAACTTTGCAAGTGGGTCACTCACCAAGGTTTTCAGGATATCGCAGTAACAGATAGAGAAATGAGCAGAGTGGGATTCGAACCCACGCCTCTCTCGAGACTACGACCTGAACGTAGCGCCTTGGACCGCTCGGCCATCTGCCCCCATCCCCACACATCCCCCTTTTAATAATAGCCTGCACTTAGCCGCTCATCAAGGCAGTGTATCTATGAAGGATAATGGATACCGAGAAGGAATTCAATCAGAGTCTTTCCCCAGTACGATATTTACACAATGGCAACTACAAGAACATTGTCCTAATTTCAAATAATGCAGCGGGGAAGGCTGAAAGACAGCCTTCTTGGCTCAGTTGGCAGAGCGTCTCCCTAGTACCAGGAGTGAATCCTGACGGCAGGAGAAGGTCACCAGTTCGATTCTGGTAGAAGGCATGGCTGGCAGGAACTGGGCCTGTTCTATCCCATTATTGAGCCTTACTGGCAGGGAGCGCTTTCTGCATTGATCTGCATTTCTGGGTTATTTTCCAATCAATCTGAAACCAGCCAGGAAGGAGGCTAAGGCTGGCTGGATTCAGACCAGATACTAAGAGCTCTGTATCCAAGAATACACACAGACATGGTTTTCTCATATCTGTTTAAAGACCCAGATATCTAGTGGAGGGCGGATGTCTGGACTTTGTCAGCAGATTGGGCAGATATTTGGTCTTTTTGCGTATCAGTGACTGGGAATTATCTGTGAGGCAGGTGTGGGCAGTAACCATATCTGTCCACCACATCCCAGAGTTGGAGCAGATCGGACAGAGATCCGGCAGAGGTCCAGTCTCCACTTTCTCAGATGCCAGCCTTAAAGGAAGCTGTTCTCCAGCACTGCCCATTGATTGTGTGCATACTCCAGAACTGTGTTCAAGTCATACCACTTGCACTTAATCAGGAACTTCTGTTTTGGTTTTTTTCTTTTCCCCTGAGGCACAAATCTGCACCCAAACCTCTTTATAATTGTATGATGTTCCTAAGTGAGACACATTTGACACAAGGCAAAGTCTCAGCACAGTAGAAGAGTCAGGCATGCTAGCCTATTTGTTTACTTGGCTAAACTGGTTGTTGTCTGTCGTGCTTCCCACAAGATTTTGCAAACCCCACGAAGTCTTTGCACTGGTCACATGGTGTAGTTGGTTATCACGTCTGTCTAACACACAGACGGTCTCCAGTTCGAGTCTGGATGTGACCAAATTCTCCTCTTTCTTGTCCCAGCTCTACTGTCTGGTTGTGGTGTTTGTGCTGTTGGCAAAAGATGGATGGTGGGCTGGTGAAGGGGTTTTGTGTGGGTTTCAGTTCCCAAATCAGGAAGGTGGCTCCAGATGTGAGAGAACTTCACGTCATCCGCTTTGTCTTCCTTCCTTGTCACTTGTCGAACCCTGATGCTTCACTTCCCGCTCCGCATCGTTACCTTCGTCTCCCCCTTTGTTACCTTTGTGTCATTCTCCACTCCCTTACTTTCTGATGTATCACTCTCCGCTTCCCCTGCCCTTCATATCGGATAACTCTCAACCATCGGACTTCTAGCAGTATAAAACCGCCCTTTTGCAGTACCTATAAAGAGGCGAACCTCCAAAGACCTTCCACTACGCTTCAAAGGACCCTTCCTTCGAATTCCCTCACATTTGGTAGCAGCAGATAACGTCCCTCATCCGCTTACCCCTCGTTCACTCAACGCCGCCTCTTTCACCATGGATTCACCAACTGGTGATGACGACGAAAATTCCCTTTCACGTAACCTCGCCAACCTTCTCCTGAACCTTGACGAGGATGCAGAAGAGCGCACCGAGCCTTCAGACAACGAGGACACCACCCAAGCTCAACAAGCCACCAACCCAGCCACTGCGACCACTCCCTGCAACTTCAAGATGCCAAGCGTCATGCCCCCTTCCTTTGACGGATCGGTTTGACATCTACCTGCCCACCAAGCCCAACAGCAAATCGAGGAATACCTTTATGCTTGTGAGCAACTCTGCAAGCTTCACGACTTTCGCACTGACAATTCCCCTGCCACCTACCGAGTTCACCACCGCTACGCCTTCAGGGTTTCAACGCAACTCAAGGGAAACGCCCTCTCAGCATGGAAACAGTTGTCGCCACACCACCGCCAAAACATGCGTTGGACAACCTATTGCAAGTCGATTCGCCGCCAATTCAGCTCTTCTCTCGCCTACGACCAAGTAGTTGTTGCACTTGTCAGATTGAAGCAGAACAAGTCCGCCGCCACATACTCGGCTGACGTCAACTCCATCCTTGGCTCCTTCGTCGGCCACAACCTCCCTGTACGAGCGCAGTGCGCGTTCTACCGCAACAGTCTCAAAGCTCATATTCGCTAACGCCCTGAAATTGCGTCCATGATCACCAGCCTCTGCGCTCTCCAGCTTGAAGCCAAACGAATTGACGACCTCTCATGGCAGTCTCACGGCGCCACTTTGCAAGTTTCTTCACGGCTTGACTCCCTCACCAACCGTCAACAAAAAAATCGACAGCAGCAGCAACAGAACCAATCCACACCGCGCCCACAGCGCTCCATGACCTTTGAGGAATTTGGTCGAGCTCACTGAGATAGCAGCTTTGGGCAACGAAAGCAATCCCGCTATGAGCTTGCAGAAGTCGATCCTATGCTCGGCATGATGCAAGGAAACACTCAAAAACGTCAACCTCTCACAGACCGGGAACGCAGCGAGTACCGCACCCATGGTTGGTGTACGTTCTGCCACCACAAGGACCACACTGTCGACAGTTGCACGCACCCAGACTCTCACAACTCTCGCAAGCGCCATGACAACAGTAACGCCAACATTCAAGTTGCCACTGCCACCGATAAAGGAAAGAGCGGTGAGCGACGCCAGTAAGATGCACCGTCGCCCTGGACGACTGGCCCGACCACCGACAGCAGCCTCAGCCAGCGTCCGCACTCCTACTGCATTATCACCCACACTCGCACCATTAGACCTTAAGCTTCACCACAGTAGACGTCAACGATCATCTCATCCTCTTCTAGTTGTCATTGGCTCTTTCCGGGGCGACCCCATCAAGATCCTTATTGACTCCGGAGCATCCCCTTCGTTCATCAACTCTGACCTTGTCCCTTACCACCGCAAGAAGGGAACGATTCCCATCACGCTCGCCGACAGCTCCACCACCACCCACGGCTCGCAACACTCCCACATCTCCTTCCAAGTAGATGGAAAAAACCTACCACCACGACCTTGTTTCCACCACAATTGCGTACGACATCATTCTTGGCAAAGACTGGCTTGACAGCGTCAACCCTGCAACGGCTGGCCCACCAACTCTCTTCGCCTCCAGGACGGCACCACCTGGCAAGGCCGCAAAGCAACTGACATCCACGTAGAAATCTGCTCCGCCAACGCCTTCAAGCGCGCCATTCACAAGTCCCACCTCTGGGGGATTCTACTCTCCATCAAGACCACTGCCGACTCCAATGTCGCCGACACTACTGCACAAGAGAAGCTCAACCCCGAAGTCCGCGCCATCATTGACAAATATCCACATGTCTTCGAACCCTTTGAAGGCCTTCCGCCAGCTCGCTCTACCACGCATTCCCCTCATGGACCCTCTGTCACCTCCTCCATGGCGACCCATCTACCCCATGTCAGAGGACGAACTCGCCGCTCTCCGCGAAGAACTGGACATTCAGCTGAAGCACAGCCGCATTCAGCACTCCACCTCCCCTTACAGTGCACCCATCATCTACGTCCGCCAAAAGGATAAGTTACGTCTTGTGTTCGACTACTGTGCTTTGAACAAAAACACCATCAAGGACCACACGGCTCTTCCAAACATCTCCGAGATTCTTGATCGACTTGTGAAAGCCCGCCATTTCTCCACTCTCGACCTCGCCTCAGGCTACCACCAGCTGCAGATCCATCCTGATGACCGCCACAAGACCGCATTTTGCACGAAGTACAGACACTATGAGTGGGTAGTCATACCTTTTGGTCTGTCAAACGCCTCTGCCACCTTCCAGGCCACCATGAATTGCATCTTCCAGGATTACATTGACGCTTTCATGACAATCTACCTTGACGACATCCTGATCTATTCGTCCACTTTTGAGAACCACATGGCGCATATCGACCTCGTCCTCCAACGACTTGCTGACAACATGTTGCACTGCCACCTCTACAAGTGCTCGTTCCTTCAAGACGAGATTGACTACCTTGGCCACCACGTTCGCCTTGGCGAAATCTCCGTTCTATCATCGCGACTTCAAGCAACCAAAGACTTCGAGCCCCCTCGTTCCTGGACCGACCTCTGAGCCTTTCTCAGTCTCACCAACACAATCCACCGCTTCACACCACACCTCGCAGACATTTTAGCACCGCTTTCTGACCTTCTTTGCCGGGGGGAGTCCATTACAAAGTCAACGCCTTTTGAATGGGACAACTCTTATGATGCCATCTTCACCAACGTCAAGCACGCCATCTCTCAGCCGCAAACCCTTGCAATGTTCGACCCTTCCAACCCTGTACACCTGTACTCTGACTGGTCCACCCGCTCTATTGGCTCCTACGTCACCCAGCCTGCCGACAACGGCACAGAGCGCCCCATCGTATGCCTCACGAAAATACAACCCTGCAGAATCCGCCTAACATCCCTATGAAGGCGAAATACTTGCTCTTGTTTCCGCCTTGAAGCAACACCGCCAGTACCTTATCGGCCGAGAGGTGAAAGTATTTACAGACCACTCATCCCTCAAGCACATTCTCGACCAGCCTAAACTCCGACCTGTACACCACCGCTGGATCGCCGATATCCTCACCTTTGACTTCCAAATACAATGGCTCCCAGGCAAATGGAAATAACGTCGCTGATGTCCTTTCCCGCCGAACATTTACCTACACCATCGCTACATAGGTCTCTGACTCTGATTTCGACGCACCAACAGTCACTCTCAACAACATGTTATCGATCAACGACAACCTTCTCGACGAGATTCAGGCCCTCTATGGCACCGACGGTGACTACAAGCAAATCACAGACGCACTAGGCGACAAAAGGACCACGCCAAACCGTCTCTGCAAACACCTCCGTCGCTACACCCTCCGTGACAATCTCCTTCTCTACGATGCCAATGACGGCCTCCGCTACTACGTTCCCACTGCCCTCCGCCAGCGTTTCATACATCTTGCCCACTCTGACGGCCCTGCCATCCACACCTCTTGGGAAAAAACCGCCGAACGTTTAACCCAGAATTTCCATTGGTCAAACCTCCACCGTGATGTTCAACATTTCGTCCGCACCTGCGACGCCTGCCAACGCTACAAAGCTGTCCGCCGCCTCCCTTACTGCCTCCTCTCGCCTCACGAGATCCCACCAACACCATGGCACACCGTCTCCATGGACTTCATGGGTCCGCTCCCACCGAC